TTTTCTGTTGGGAGCCGCTAAAGCTGGAAAATAATTACACGTGCAGGATGAAGCCAGCCTGAGAACACGGGAGCTCCGCGGAGTAAACAAGCCTTTGTAAGTTGTTAACTGGTTGCTGGGCAGCAAGACAAAAAATTAACCAACCTCTCCAGGGTATAAATAAATGCTCTACTGTTTTGGGGCAGTCCTCTTGCTCATCAGGCAAGAGGTAACTTCACCTGGCCCCAGCTCTTCGCTCTTGTCTTTATTTTTCTCATACCTACCACCGTCGCTCTCCAGAGACCAATGAGGTCCACTACAATTTTCTACACATTCATCCACGTTGTCACAAAGAATAGCATTTTGCTTTTAAGTGCTAAATAATATTCCACTGTACATATATACCAATGTTTCTTTATCCATTTCTCCATGTTGGCCATTTAAGTTGTTTGGATAGCTTGGGTACTGTCCACAATGCTACAGCAAACAAGAGTGAAGATGTTCATGTAATTTCAGTCTGTGTCCTTCTAAAGAGAAATTGCTGAGCAATACGATAGTTCTCTTTTAAGTTTCATGATGAACTGTTTTCCAAGATAGTTGAAAAATTTACATTCTACTAAAACTTTAAAATTTGGATGGAGCCACTAAATACCCCAAAATGAGAAAGGAACTTGAAATAGGAAAAACAGCTGGGGTGACACACTTCCCAATTTCAAATACATTTCCAGAATATAATAATCAAACCAGTACGGTACTTGCATAAAATCAGACACAGGCACCAATGGGAGAGATAGCTCAGAAATGATAACAAATTAATTCCATTAATATTCAACAAGGCACCAAGAAGATGCAATAGAAGAAAAGGAAAATTTTTCCAATATTTATTTGAATGAATGGTGCTGTAGAATGAGATTTTGAATGTTGCAATTGGTTTTCCGTGGCCTACTTATTCCAGAGTGTGTGTTTCTGACACTTTCTCCTTAGCGTACTGATTTCCATGGTATATAAATAAAACATTGTACAGTGCAGCATATACCAAAACACCACATTAACATGTGCAATCATCATTTTATGAGTAAGTTAAAATGTAATTGAATAAAAATTAAATATCTTTACTTAGAATTGGCATAGTGATTTTTTTCATTTCATTTCTGGATATGGAGTACAAGCCTTGATACTGAACTACAGACCCTGCTTAGGTTTACTTTTCATTTTGAAGCATGTTCTAACCTAATAGCTAAGTTGCCAGACCTGGGCTTGAACTTATGCCCCTGCCTCCCAAAGTCTTTGGACTGGTGGGGTAGACTCTCATGCTTAGTTAATTGTTATCTTTTAATATCAGACTGTTTGAGAAATGCCTGAAGGAGTAAAGCTTAACAGTTATTTCTACATAAGAAAGTACTTTTTCTATACACAATTCTCCTTTTTCACTGGTTTCTTGTGAGCTGGTTCTTATTGTATCTTCCTTCCCTCATGGACCTTGACACAGGCTTAATTAGAACAGAGTGGGAGACATGTGAATAGTTACCTTGATGGTTTAACTTCTTCAGAACACTATCAGCTTACCATCATTCACCAAAACATACAGCTTTCCCTCTCAGCAAATATCATTCCAGATTTCAGGAGGCTTTAAAAAGATAGCTCAATTTAACCCTGCCAGGCACCTTTTACAGTAGTGCAGGGTGTGAGCCTGCATGAACTATTGCTACAATATTGTACCAATTTTAGGCAATAATCACAAATTCAGTGCAAGCATAGGTCTTCAGGGGCTGGGGATTTAGCTCAGCTGCAAAAGCGCCTGCCTGGCAAGCGCGCAAGGTCGTGAGTTCGGTTCCCGGTATCAGAGAAAAACCAAAAAAAAAAAAAAAAACATAGGTCTTAGACACTAGGTCATGATCTATGAAAATGATAGCAACAAAAGTATAAAAAATTTGCACAAGTAGCCTAACAAATAAAAGTTTATATTTATGCTATTTTCCTAGATGGAAAGTTGACTACTACTTCTCAGGAGCTTCTAGGGCCAAGTGTTATAGCACAGAGACCAACCCCTGCTCACTGTCAGGAATATTTCTAAGTGCTAAAAACAACAATGTAAATAAAACAGAGATATTTGTTTAAGTAACATAGGTTTTAATGCTCAGAACCAGCCTAGAAGGTAAAAGGGAGTCAAGGTAAATAAATATGCTACTGACTTAGCCAGATAACAATAAAATTTTATAAAACAAAATTTTGTTGTGAAATTATTCTCTGACAATGGGATCCATATGAACATGGGTAAGAAAAAACAGAGCCACATCCATATTATGTTAAAGCACTGAAGTTTTAGAGTTTTCTTGTCATAACGCTGATCAGTATTTTAGTAATGTGGACTGTACTATTTAGCTGGAGTTACATGGTATTATATTATGGTACATTCAATTCTTAGAACCATTCCTTTGGTGTAAAAGAATGGTGATACACCCAGGTGAAAACTTCCATGGAAACAACACCTTCTATGGAGAAAAAAAGGAATACAATTTCTAAATCTAGGCAGAAATTCTGAGAGAAGGGAGCCCGTTTAATACTTTTAATGAATAATACACAGTTACAAAATTATAATGGAACTGGATACAATTTTAAATATTTTTTAAAAAACAAATTATGAACATAAGTTGAAACACATGTGAATATGTGAAAAGACAAATTTTCTTGTTATTTATAAAGTAATAAATTACAATACAAATATAAAATAGTGCAAGTAATTACATATGTGTGTTAGAGAAAAATTATAGTAGCCATCAAATGAAACTTGAAAAATTAATACAAAAGTATATTTACCTTTTTTTGTGAGCTAGGCCCTGTTATGAACCTTTTGACAATACTTTCTCGACCTTCCACTTACATAACCAGAACTCTCTGTTAATTAATTTATTTATTTTTGGTACCAGGAACTGAACTCAGGACATTGCACTTGCCAGGCAGGCACTGTGCCACTGAGCTACCTCCCTGGCCCCTATTTTATTTATTTTTATCACTACCTTCATCTCCATCTTTTTTAATTACATTGGCTTAGTTTGTTGTTTTTTCTAAATCCTTAAAATTGAAGGTCATTGATTTTAGTAATTTTTTTATAAGCAAGCACTGGTAACTATAAATTGATAGCACATTCACAAAATGTTATTTATCTTGTTTTCCTTTTTTATTTTTTCATGATGTTTCTTAGTTTCCCTGGGAACATTTCTTTTTTCCCATGTGTTTTCTTACACAATTTCTTAATAATGTCCACATATTTCATACGTTCCTCTTTGCATTAGTTTATATGTAAATTATTCCTTAGGAGTAGAAGGAAATATGCTATGTGAATTTGTTCCTTTTTAATTTATAGAGAACTTCCCTGTACTAGATCAGATTGTGCTGTATTTGTGTTAAATTTCTCAAATGTGCAATGATTCCTCACATTCCAGTTATCCACTCACTAACTCAGGGCATTTTCTTGCATGTTACATCATTCATACAAATATCTGCTTTACAGTGGTATTCTATGTGGAGTGAGTGCTGAGTTCTGATAGTCAGTACTGTGTCTTCAGTTAATAGGTGTAGAATAGAACAATCTGTTAGCATGAGCACGTTTCAGAAAAGTAACACTAGACTGTGAGTCAATCCTTCAATTTTTAGTGTCCAGGAGCCTAAATGTTCATTGTCATTTGTTACCCTGACAAATTCTCTATGTGTTATATTTTAAATTGATGGGAATTGAGTATGGTTTTATTTGATTAAACGAATATTATACTCTTGCAAATTTGAATAAGATCAGTTCATTCCATGACAACCCAAGTATGTGTTGTGTCCTTACAATAAAGAGGAGAAATAATATGGTCAAGAGAATGAATATAGAGAAACAATAGGAATATTGAAGATTTTTTACAGTTTATTTGTCAGAAAATTAAAAATATCCTGAAACTTCTACTGTTGCGGCAAAACTAAATCTAGGAAAGGAACAACACCCGAAAGTCAGGAGGCAGTGAACAGCTTTATTTACACTGGTGGTCCTGCATGGAATCACTTGTAACAAAGTCAGGGGGTCAGTCCCTGTGAGCCAGGATTTTTCTCTGAGGCATAAGCAGGAGTTACAAAGGCAGGACAGGACAACCTAGCAGTTCTGATTAGCTAGCAGGGTGAGATCATCCGTTACTGGGATAGATCAATGACCATCAGTTACAAGACTAGATTAATGATCACAAAGTTGGGTACAATCAGGCATCCTGTATGTTGGATTACACTCTCATGGTTACAGGAATCAAGAAAGCAGTTACAGGGGCTGGGGATTTAGCTCAGCAGCACAGAGCCTGCCTGGCAAGCACAAGGTTATGAGTTCAATTCCCGGTACCAAAAAAAAAAAAAAAAAAGAAAGAAAGAAAGAAAGAAAGCAGTTACAGAGCCCTGAAGACGTTAAAGCAGGGCAGCTTCAAGAAAACAAAGTTTGTTTTTTTTTTTTTGATGAAGACTTTGAGAAGAATTTGCTTTTAATTTTTTTTTATTTTAAAGAGAATAAAAAAATTTTAGAACCAAGTTTTAAAAAGAACAGCTTCCTAGTACAGTTTCCCCTTTCACCACAACTTGGTCAAGAGCAGATGATCTGTTCTGATACATTTGAAATGGACATGTTGTATGACCTGCTTTCCCCATGTAGGGACAAAATACTTGACAGCTGCAACTTCAAAAAGTTCCTTCTGGCTCAGGGTTCCTCCCCATGGACGGTCTGCCGGCTCCAAGGCAGAACAAGCAGGGCGGAAAAGGCAGAGGGAGGAGCGCTGCTCAGCTCAGGGTGGCCGGAAGCAGAGACAGCAGGAGCCGGGAGCGAACGTGCACCTTGTCAGCTCACAGCCCAGCGACCACCCCAACCAGGCCACGCCCACCACAGCGCTGTCAGCCACGAACCGTCAGCAGAGGAGTCCACTGAGGAGCCCCGCACCCCGGACCCAGCCTCCTTCCACACTCAGGAGACTTGGGGACTTTTTAGATCTAAACTACAGCACAGGGCAGGAATAGAGCCTGCCTTACACACTCGCCAAGAGGGGTTAGGAGTGTCTTGTTTTCTCCCCATGAAAAAGCTCTTCTTAAAATTATTATACCTTGCAGAAAAAGAAGGAAAAAGACATGAAATTCCTGCATCATTATGATGGTAGCCCTGTGTAACTATGAAGGAATAACTCAAAAATTCGTGGTGGAGAGGCCCATGTATTTCTGCTTTCTCTCCAGAGGACAGGATGGACTGTGTGTAAGTTTCCCTTAAAGCTATGGGGAATATAATTTTAGAGATATGGCTAGATTGATGATCACTTCTATACTGGGAATTTTTATAATTGGGCACAGGAATATTGGGCCTGATTTTCATATGAGAAAAGTGTGGGACATTATTATGAGAAAAAATAACAAAATAGAACAGAAGAAAGAGTATAAAAACCAATACTGATAAGAGTAATCCAAGTTATTCTCTGTAATTTATGGTTTACTTTAAAGTAATAAAGCATTCATGTATGTCAAAACGCTTACATAAATGATAGCTTCATTAGCAAGTTCTATGGGCACAGAGGAAAGGAGGCCTTAGATTTCTCCTAAGAATGAGAGAGGAGTTCACAAGCTTTTAGCATGCAAAACTGCGACTTTCTGAGTAGGATTATACTTTTCAGAAGCTGTGTACCTCAAGAGAAAATTATACAAACCAGAAAGATGGACCTTCATAAAAGACAACACGTTTACCTGAGCCACCTTGAGCCAATAAATAACTTTCCCTCAGGATACACAGAGCAATAAGATGAAACTATAAATCTTTCATGTTGTAAGAGAATGTTTTACTCTTTGAAAATCTACCTAGGCTGTGTATCAATGCAAAAAGAAGAAAAATACTACCTTCATGATGAGATACACAAAGAACCTACTGATGAATCCCCAGATTCTTTCACAGGAAATAGGTACATTGAATAATAAGACATCAAAAATTATGCAATTTTGACCAGGGCAGATTATTGCCTTTGATAGATTTGAAATAGACAGGAAACAGATAAAAAGTGTCACTCCTTCTTGGTAGACGTAGAGAGAGAAGCTATGAGTGAATAATACTATCTTTCCTCTGTGAAAATTCCATTATAGAGTTATACTGGCTCATAAAATGATAATTAAAAGCATTGGCATTCCCCATTTTTAACATGGCAACCCTGTGTAAGTACTATAGAAAAGTTCAGAGTGGTGAGGACTGTGTGTTTCTTTTCCTTTTCAACTTAGAGTTTAATTCAACAACTGAAGAGCCCATAAGGCTCCTTTCTGATTTTAGATGGTAGATATTTAGATATAAGAGCAAACAGCAGATCAGATCTATTCTTTGTATTTCCTGGGGACTTCAGAAATTCTATGCCTTTTTATGTCATTATTTTTCAAGTGGTAGAAATTTGCAAGGAAAGGGGAAAAGCATTGAAGACCATTACGACTGCAAGGAAAACATACAAATTAGAGTGAAGGAAAAGAGTACCGACACCCCTTCATCCTTTCTACAGATGTGGATAATACAGTTTATTCTTTCTCAATGAATATTTTCTATGAACTAGTGAAGCTTGACTCTATCATTCAAAACAAGTCCATCAATGTAAGGCATGTGCCTTTTAGACTGGTCCATGGTGGGACGAAAACAAGATATAAAATTAACTCTTACAAATAGCGATGGGCATGTAAATGTTTGGCAATTTCAAAATTTGTGGCTGTCCACAAGCACAGATAAAAATAAGTATTTCTGGGGCTGGGAATTTAGCTCAGCGACACAGCACCTGCCTTCCAAGTGCAAGGTTGTGAGTTCGATTCCCGGTACTGGAAGAAAAACAAAACAAAACAAAAAAAATAAGTATTTCTGCCAGTGGGTTGGACCTTTGCCCATCAAAAACAACATGTACAAGAGACCCAGGCCAAGAAGATATCATATTAGGTAAAGTGCCCTTATCTCCTTAAACAGCTGGAGAGTCCTTCTTACAGGGTAGAATTAGTTAGAATTGAAGAACCACTTTCCATAACTTATATGAGGTCTGGATGAGCACCAGGTGAGATGGTGTCTTTTGGTGGATCCTTCAGACAGGGTCTTAAGTAGACTACAGTGCAGTGAAGCTCCCTGCTCCTGGACAGATGCTTACTTAAGACTGAGTGACGTTTTGTGACAGAGGTACGTGTCTCTCCTGTTGTTTATATACAAGAGTGCATAGTCTTCCACGCCAAACCTTTAGGCTTTTACATTTTCTGGAGTTGTTCACAGGTAGGAAATCTTGTGCATAGTTAGTGTCATAACAAGTCTAAGAATTGTTATTTGAGAGGGTCATCACTGTCTCTGGTTTTCCCTTTATTTTTAATTTACCTGACTTTTAGATGAAGACTCCAATTTACAATAATGTAAAGTGATACAGCTGTGTAAATGGATAATACAAAATAGAGGTGATAGGAAACTATGGAAAGCAGATCTGGAGATTGGGGGAGAATGAAGGGCAAGGAGGGGAGGGAAAAATAAACATGGTTAAGACACGGTGTGTGCTGGGCCAGCTCTCTACAGTGAACATAATTATCATGTGTTAATATTATTCTTATCACATATTCTATACAATGTAACAAAGAAAAGACACCAAGCTGCATCACATCAGCACTTCCAAAAGTTAGCTTTAAAAAGCTCTGCCTAAGTATCATATTCTGTCCTGAATGTGCAAAAACTCAGAGCACTTTTCCAGTGGTGCCAAGATCTGTTACCAAGAGGCCTTGCTGCTCTGTATCCATCTTACCAACATATTTACTTTCTTTTTCTCTCAGTATAAAATTTTGATAAAGAGTGTAATGGCCATTGTCTGGAGTTCTAATTTCCACAACTTTATTATTTTTAGCAGGAAATTCTTGGAAGTGAAATTAGGAGTTAGGGAAAGAGCACTGTGAAATCAGAAATCAATGGAAGTAAATTTTGAAATATGGAATTTTATGTTCATAAAAATGCATCACAATTAGCCTGGAAAAGTTGATATTTTTGCTTTGGGTAGGAATTAAAGGTGAGAAACTGCAACATGAGATGAAGACATAGAAAATTGGGCATTGTTTTAGAGATTTTGTAGTCTTCGCCATCAGAAAGAAGGGAACTGTGTGTAAGAACATTTCTTTTAGGGTAATGATATAGAAATATGCACAACAAAACTACAATTTAAAAAGTAATAGCAAGAATGGCCTCCAGGGGAGGAGAATGACCAGTTACACATGGGAGCACAGAGTGGGTGACTGACAGTGATGAGGACATGAGAAAAGAACAGCCAGGGTGATTTTTGTGAAGGAGTCTTTCAAAGCAAACGCTTCCGGCCGGAGATATAGCTCAGTGGCATAGGCACCTGCCTGGCAAGTGCAAGGTCCTGAGTTCGATTCCTGGAATCAAAAAAACAAAAAGTCAAAGCAAATGCTTCTATTGTTTTGGTTCTGCATACAATTAGTTTCATAATCTAACTTCCAGAGCATACATGTTTGTGATTTTTCTCCCTGAACTTATTATTCTGATTCACAAAAACAGAAATAATATTTTCCACTCTGATCATTTATCTCAGAATACAAAGCATAAGTTCCTCTAAAAGAAGATTAATAATGGATGTATGGAAATAGTGCAAATTTTATGTCAGTATATTTTCCTACTAAACTAGATTATAGCTATATGGCACACACCTAGAAAATCTTTATAATGTACTTTGAAAAGAAAAAAGTTGAGAAATGGGAACAATATCTAGTTTCCTGCATTTAAGGTAAAAAAAGACATAAACGACATGGAACCTGTCTCCACTGTGATGGGGTTAGAAAAGGTAGCTCTGGCACAGGCTGACATTCACTCAGGTCCACGTCTGTAAAACAGAAGACTCATTACCAGTGGAGATGGAAACCGTTTCCAGTCCATGAATGCTGCATGTTGAATTTCTGCTCTGGAATCAGGACAGCGGAAGAGCAGGGTTGGGCTCAGATGGGTGCGGTGCCCACCCGTGGACATGTGGCTCCTCAGGGAATTTAAGTGGCTGAGCACAGCGCGTGAGCTGTGGAGTCAAAGTAACGACGAGAAGCCAGGGTGTGAGGGCCTGCCAGTCACATGGGGCTGAGGACAACCTAGTCATTTCTCCAGTTTTCTACCATGCGTGATCCCCTGAACAAAGTAGAAACAACAGTGGAAGCACCTTACTAAATGTGATGGGGAACCAGAGTTCTAATGTCTCAAATCTAATAAATTATTTCACCTTGTGTCTCTGTGGTACATGAATACTAGGATTAGAGGCTGGTATTTTTTATTTTCAGCTCCATCCTGCTAATACACATCATCATTTCAAGACACTGTGTGAATAGGGCTCTTGAATTCAGGCCATAGTGACTAGATTCCCATTGGGATAAGAAGATATTTCCTGCATAGCCTTTATGACGGTGTAATAGAGGATATAGCGTTGTTGAGTGGGCAAGAGACAGTGCTGAATCCTCATTCAGTGTCAGAATTTCCCCAGTCATTACTGAAACAAGTGTGCAGCCTCATTTCTAGCACTTGCCACAGAACCTAAATGGACTTTGACATTGTCAGGCTTGGAAACATTGTATGGAATCAGAGACTCGTCCTTTGATCTGATTTTCCAGGGCAACACATTGTCAGTCATCAAAAAGATCACAGGCTGGGCAAAGCAATATTATCAGCAACATCACTATGGACAATCAAGACATAGACCCCAGTCATCCATTTGACTCACGTCCTGCGCAGAATACCATGATTAAACACTTGTGTATTTTAGGGGTAAGCATTTTAAAGATCCTTTTTATAAGCTGGCTTTCTATTTCCCTAAATTTGTTCTGGCTCAGGCTACTGAATGGCAAACAGTTTGGCGTGGTCATGGAAACACACCTGTAAAAGGCTACTGACTACTGACTCTTTAAATATAAAAAATATATATATATATATTGCTATACAAATACTGATGTGCCTGCATACTGATATGCTATATATATATGAGATTTATAAAAATTATCAGTGTTATCCTTCTGGAAATGTAGAACATTAACTTAGGCATTTATCTTAAGAAACTTCCCCTTAGAAGGGAGCTCTGAATTAGCCCAAAATTCTCACTTGTGAAGTAATTTTATCTAAGGTTTACACTTATTCCTCTTACCTGAGAGACACTTTCTCCTCCTCCAGGTGTTCCAAATGATGGATGGTATGGTGCTGACTGTGCTGTGGGCAGTAGTTATTGCCAATTCATCTCGCTACAAACTTTCTATCATACAAATACATCCGATACTGCCCTACCTATATCTTTTGGTACCACTCATTGTAAGTAAATACAAATAATGTTTATTCCTCTACTACTTTGAACAAGAATGTGATCCTAAGGCATGTTTTTATGCATTGCTTGGGTCAGAGCTCTGGGAAGCACTTGGTCATAGTAAAAGTAAGTACAGATAATGTATTTCCAGACAAATTAATTGATCTTTATTTTTATACAGTATGTCACAGCAGGAATTCTGAACATTGTGGCTGCAAATAGACAGAATCCCAAATTGGTGAGTTTCCCCGTAGTTTAAAAAATCTACAACAGATAAGACATAAATCATACTTGATACCGTAACTGAACAACATAACGTTTGTGAGGTTTCCCTCTGTCTTGAGGTCCCAAAATGATTTCTTTCCAGCACCCAAAGGTCATTTGTCCATTTCTGGCTCATAAGTGTGAATGTGCACTGTGTTTAGAAGCTTTCACATTATTTTTACAAATTTCAATTTTATTTGTACTTGAAGAGGGTGCAGGCACATCAGCATTTGTATAGCAATGTACCAGTCTCCGGAATGCACAAGTAAGGACTCAGTTTTCTTTTTCTCTTGCAGATTACGGCCTTTAGAGTGTTCAAATTTGTTACGTTTCAGGCTTCCCTGATATTCTCCATAATGCATGGTGTAGATACATTTGAAGTTGCAGGGAGAAGGGGTGTATTTCCTGTAGATGTCCTATCTGTAAGTATTTCCAGATCCAGATATACAATTTCCTGGCATTTATCCATATAAAAAGTAATTTTATGACATGTATATAAAAATAACCATAAACTGGATTCTAAATGAATAAATTTATTTATGCAACACTGTTTTAATTTTTGAGCATAGTGTATGAAGCTAAATAAAACCTCTATCTCGGACAAAACAAATGGCACTCAGGAATACATTTAAATAATTCTTATTCTATTCAATCTTAAAGTAAAAAGACAATTCAAGAGTTCTACCCCATTCAGAATAGTGATTTGGAAAATCTAGCTGCCTTTCAGAGCCAGTATTTTTAACCCCAAGTTGGACAGATACACTGATGCATGCTGAGGATTCATTACTACTAGACATAAATGCATTCTGAGACTCTCGATTCAGAAATATCAGCAAAGCTGGCTTTGGAGCTAAGCAGCCTTCTGTGATCTTGGTTATAACAGGAAACAGGTTGGATACTGAGAGGTCATTTCACTGGTCTGACATTGTAAGAGGGCGGGACTGCACATGTGAGAGCACAGTCAGAGAGAGGCGATGTATATGGGGAAAGTGTGCAATATTTGCTACCTCAGTGTTTGTCCATGAGTAAAACCTGTCTAAAAGTGTGCCCGAGGCTGACAGCATCTCTCCACAGTTCCTTCCTGTTTCTCTCCCTCATGTTCACCATGGCATTTCCTGTGCGCCTGAAGTTTTTCCTCTCGTGGTTTCAGTTGATCTTCCTGCTTTCCTGTTTGGCTCCCTCTATCGCACGGATAAAAACCATGTGCTGGGTAAGTATTTATTCTCTAGAGGGCAAGGAACAGTCTCTGCCACTTCACAGACACCTTTATGTTGAGAGATGTCTTTCCACTGCTGTATCATGTTAGCAATCTGTGTGAGGAATATCTTGGGAGTTGCACATATGCATTTACATTGAACACTAGATGAGGACCTTGAGGACTGGGCTTAAATCTTGTATCAGAGAGAAATCAACGTGAAATCTAAGACCTTAAAGTATGAGGAGACATAGGAATGTGGGCATTTGAAATACTATGTACTGATCTGCTGTTTGTCTTATTTCTCCACAGCAGATGATCTACTTATGGTGAATTGAGGTTGAACTCTCCCTTCCTGCACAAGACCAAGACTGACATGTATGGCAGTCCCACTCCATGAAGTGATTTGAGAGAGTGCCTTCATGTGCTTTTCTTGGTCTTTTTTGCCATTGCATCATCCAGGAAATTCTTATTTACATAATAAATAGGAGCTGAAGTCTTCTAAGGAAAATAACTGTCACTGAATTGCTGATATTGACTTTTCTATGGTTTGTACTCTAACCCCAATGTGAATACCTTTGAGGATGGGTACAGAACTGATGTGGGTACATACCCTTGTTACCTAAACCAGAAACATATCCAGAAGGCTGTCAGTATTGCAACCTGATTTCTGAAAATACTCAGACTATATCCTTACATCCCATGGCTCATTGTGGTTTTAATTCTCATTTTACTATGATTAGATTTTTAGAAAAATTTTATTCTTCTTGAATACTAGTATTCAACTGTAATAAAATTTTTATTATCATCCTTTGATACTTTTAAAGTGAGTCTTTTTCTCTCCTTTAGTTGTATGAGACATCTATGTAGGATTTTCATTAAGACTCTGTTGGATATATTTTTTCTCAAAATAACTTCTCAAAATTTTACTCCATTTTTCTGGGGCATGATTTTTGCAGCACAGAGCTTTGTAGTATGATGAAATCTCATTTGATTATTGGGAATTTATTGCATGAGCCTTGGCTTTTATGTCCAAAAAATCAGTGACAGGGCCAACATCAAGAACATTACTAATAAATTTACTTCTGGGATTTCTATGCTTTATAGTTTTATGTTTAGGTTATTAATCTATTTTGTGTTCACATTTTTTTAGTGGGAGTAGCTAAGGACTGATTTTAAAATTTCATGTGGGTTTTTTCCATGTGAATTGAGGTTTTCTTCATGTGGATCAATCAGTCAGTGAGAGATACCGCATCAGCAGAATGAGGCATAAACCTAACACATGCTCACCTAAACAGATGCAGGAAGAGCATTTGACAAGACTCCATATACTGTCATGATAAGAACTGAAAACAAATTAGACACAGAGGAATATTTTGTCAGCCTCATAGAAGACATAAAAATTCTAGAGTCCAGTTAACATCATTTTCAGTGGGACAAACCACAGCTTATCCTTTATAATCTGGTAGAAAGCCAGACCCATTCTAACTATTCACATTCACCAAAATCAGATGTACTAGGGGGAGCAATTGGAGATGAGGAAAAGAAATTTTTTAAAAGCATCCAAACTAGAACAAAAGCAGTAATATTGACCCTACTTACACATCTCATTACCCTATCTGTGGAATACTCCTAAAATTTGTAAAATACTTTCAAAATAATAGATGAAATTGGTAACATTCCAGGGAAGAAAATTAGAACACAATTTGATAGCATTACTGCATTTCAGTAACAACCTCTGTGCAAAGGAAATCAAGAAAAGAACCCCTTCATTATAGCACCAAATGAATAACATTGAATTTCGAGGCATGAAGTAAAAGCTCTTTATATTGAAAACTCAAATACTTAGGAAAAAATTATACAAGACAAAAAATAGAAAGTCATCTCATATTCATGAGTTTACATTATTTGGAGTTAAATATTTCTACTACTTATTCTGATTTACAGACCAAAAAACATTTCTCAAATTCTCAATGATTTTTTCCAAAGAAATAAAAAAAAATTCTAATATTTGTATGAAATAGCAACACAGTTCAAATAGTTAAAGCAGTCATTAGATAGACAACCAAGACTAAAGGTGTTATATTTGCAATTTCAAATACATTACAGGGAGGTATTAAACACAACAGGATAGAACTTCCACAAAGTTCCAACAAGACATATGTGCCAATGGGACAGAATAGGGAGCCCAGCAACAGCGTGCTATGTTCAGTCATTCATATACAAAGACTTCATTTTTAGGGAGAAGGTAATTTTAACTGAAAAAGATTTTAATCACCTGGTCTTAATGTCTGTCATTGGGGTATACAGATTGTCTTAGTTTCATTTTATGATCATCAGTGATGGTTTGTGTAGTCAAAATCCCTTAGCAATGACTCAACAAGTGCAGTGTAGCAGTTGTTTATTTTTTTAAATAACAAAATGCAGTATTTTTCTGAACACTAGTTCTGCTTTTGCAGAGATTACTTCCCTTGCTGGTCTCCTGTTCCTTCCCTCTGCGACCCTGACACAGGCTGAAACAGTTACATCGTACATTGTATGACACAGAAATTGTGACCATTGTACTCCTTCTCTCTCAGAAGACTATAAGCAGCCAGTCCCTAGTCAAGACATATACACCTGTTTTAGTAAATATTCCACCACTTCTGGAGCCTCTCACAAGTAGGTCAGTGCCCACCTACCTTGCACCATCCTAGAAACATGTGCATACCCGAGTTAATTACTGCTATGATTTTATACCATTTTTGTTAAAAGTGACAGATTTCATGTGTATATATAGTTTAGCTCATGGGTTAAGATCTGTCAGAACAACAGCAAAAAGAATTTTTAAAAATTCTACAAATGGCCTGATCAGTAAGTGGCTCTTTTCTTAGAGAGGCAGCTCTACTACAAAGGAGATCTAAGACTCAGGTTTTGTACCACAGAGATTTACTGACCACTACCAAGTTTCAGAAATGGTAAGCGCTGAGCAGATTTGGTTTAAGAAAATAAAATAGGGGAATCTGTGCAATACACTTCCTGACACTCAGAATGATCTTACAATGTGCTTATGGCTCAAGGAGAAGAAATGTGCTATTGATCTCAAAGGTAAGAATAATACTTTCACCAATATAATGTTGTAGGAAGATCTCCCCAGACAGAGGAAATCGACCTGAGCAATGACAGAGAGGAGTTCTTTGTTACACTAGTGCACTGATGGTTTAGAATTTTATGGTAATAATACTGGGACTCCTTTTACAGTCCTGGATAATACTATATTAATGACCTAGAATTTAGAAGGCTTTGACAGTAAGAAAATGATGATGTGATCTCTCTATGACATTCTCAGTTTCAGGCAATGAAACATCCAGCAAAATGTAGACATTCTATAATTTGGGAACAACATTCATGGGTATCTTAGCTACTTTTCTCATTGGTGGGACAAAATATGCACGACCCAAAAGTTAAAAGAGGAAAAGTTTATTTACCTCACAGTTTGTAGAGGTTTCAGTCCATAGTCAGCTGCCTCCAAGGCAGGGTGCCATGGCAGAGGGGAGCTGCAGAGGAGAAACTGTCTATGGAAGGGCAGGGAGGAGACACCGAGCCACTGCAGCAGCAGGAGCAGCAGCAGCAGCAATAAGCAACAGCCTGACTCACTTCTCTCCCTGCATATTCCATGCAGACTGTAAGCCTACTGATTGGCACCACCACCCAGGGTGAGTCTTCCATTATCCATACCAAGAGCTGTATGAAACCAATTAGGGGCCTAATGCACACATCCTTCATCCAGGTATCACACCATTAATCCACGTGCACAGCCCCTAAATCAGTCACCTCCAGAAAGCCCCACGTACGAGGACATGAGGCTTTGGAGGGACATCTAGATACAAATCTTAACAATAGGCAATTAAATAATAAAGTTGCCAAAAACACACGCTGAATTTCACAACTCTTTTCCACCTGGTGATAAACTGTAGAAACAACATAGCAATAGCACCTTCTGAGGACAAGTAAAAACAATCTCTAAGTATGCATAGAAATTTAGAAAAAGGGGGCTGGGGATTTAGCTCAGTGGCAAAAGCACCTGCCTGGCAAGCGCAAGGTCCTGAGTTCGGTTCCCGGTACCGGAGAAAAACAAAACAAAAAAAAACAAACAAAAAAAAAGAAATTTAGAAAAAGAAGCCATTCATAATTTTACATGAGAAAAAACAAATATTTAATTATAATATAACTGGAATACATTTTAAATGTATCATATAATAAATTGTATGTAATTAAGTATGTGGGCTTTAGAAATGTTTTAATAGAAAATATCAAATAATGTCATTTCACTTATGAAACAGGCCCTTTTAAAACACTCTATGCAGTATTATATCACATTGTTCTATCAGTATTTTACTCTCAGTGTTAAACTTGCACAGGTTGCTCTCTAATAATTTTATTATATCTACATAAAGATAGATAGACAGATAAGCTGGAATTTCTCAACATTACATTGGTGACCCAGAGTAAGTATTATGAAAGCTCTCTGTAGGGGTTGGGGATTTAGCTCAGTGGCACAGCGCCTGCCTAGCAAGCACAAGGTCGTGAGTTCAATTCCCGGTACCGGAAAAGGGCCAAAAAAAAAAAAAGATAGCTCCCTGTATAGAGAGGACCATGTCTTTCTGCTTTCTTCAATTTAAAGTTTAATTCAAAAGTAGGTATAAATCTCATTAGTTTTCCTTATTATTATGGAGGATATAATTTCAGAAATATGGGAAAATAGGAAACAACTTTTATGCTTTGCATTTGCTGTATGGTAGTCAGAAATATTGTGCATTGTAGTCCTATATAGTTATTGTTCAAGCAGTAGAAACAGGCAAATAAGGAGAAAAGCATTGAAGACTATGGTTGTGAGGAAATTTTGTGAAGTAAAATTAAATAAGAAAGAGTGCAGACCTCTTTCCTATCTATAGGGATAATTCAATTCGTCCACCCTATTTGAAAGTTTTCTATGAACTACAGAAGCTTGGATTTATAAGTGAAAATGTTTATTAAATATAAAGCATGTGTTTTATTAGTGGTGACCTGGGGGACTATGAAAAGGGGAAATAAAATGTTTTCTTTACAGAGAGGGTTTGGCACTGAAATCTCTGGCTAGCTGTGCAGTGGAACTAAGGCAATATTCCTGTCAACATCATGGACCTTTGTCCATCACAGAAACTCATCTGCGAGAAATGTCAGCTGAGATGGTGACATTTTAGGTAATTCGTTTTTATCTCCTCATAGAGCAGAAGACTCTTTCTAATAAAGTCAAACGGAAGTGCAAGGAAAACACAATTTCCACGCATTATGTGGTGACAGGACGAGCTGCAGGTCGTACGATGTTCGCGGTAATTCCCTGAGAAGGCTTCTGAAGGAGAGGGCAGTGCAGAGCAGATGCGCAGTCAGGAGTGAGTGACGATTTCTCATAGAGCGATGCATCGCTCCTGTTTTTATCTCCACAGTCCTTCCTGGGACTGTAAGAGGGATGGTCTCCCATGCCAACGCCTCAGGCTCATGCAAAACTTCCTGTTTATCCTGGATGGGAAAAGATCAGAGAACATTTCCAGTGGTCCCAAGTTTAAGCTACCAAGTTCCCTCGGTGCTGCTATATCCAACTATCTTAATGCATGTTTTCTTTCTATTCTGTTATCTGAATGTAGGAAATTTAGTGAAAAGAGGTTAGGTGACCACCATGTGAATTACAGCT